TTTCACATTATTCAGACTTTTGTTGTCCTCATTTCTTTGTCGCCATGATTTATCACAACGTTTCAGACCTTTTTGTCAGTTTATCTGTCTATATTTCTTCAGGTGAATGATGAACCCTTTATTTCGCTCATTATGTTCTAGTTCCATATACCATATGCATTTTTAATGGATATCATTATTCTCCACTGGACTATTGTCCTCATTTTGGGTCCTCCAACTAACGCCTTTATCCGCTGTGCCATGTATCCTTTTTTGAACGTTTCGGGCAGTAAATACAAACAACATTTACATTTAGTACGCTCCAGAAGCCAAGAACCAACTTTGCAGCAAAAGATTCAAAAAGAAAGCCAAGGAGTTGGACATGTCGAAAACTGAACCCTTTGATTTCGCTCATGGTTGAGCATCTGGATTAAAGTCTGAAACTGAAGGGCAAGACTGTTTTTCTAGTTCCAAATATCCAAAATGCTGTGACAAATACCAAGAAACAATAGGACCATCTAATCTCAGGATGTTCTATACTTGCCCCAAATGAATTTCGTCAATGGATATCAGTTATCACTTTGGAAAATTCTCCAAACTGACTTAACCGGCCGGTTACAGAAATAGAAGATGTCACCATTCTATGGGATTATACCATCCACACAGACAGAAAAATGAACTCACACTTTTGTCCAGCGGATTGTAAATATAGCAACCAAGTTTGAAAACTATCAAAATACAAAGACTGGGAAATTGAAAACAAGAATAACCAGTGGTAATAGGTGCACTTGGAATTATAAAAAATGGAACAAAACAACACATTGAAAGAATCCGCTGAGACATACAGAAAATTGTCTTATGTATCCTTTTTTATGAAACGCTCTTTAACATGTAATAGGTCTTTCCGCATAATAATAATAATAATAATAATAATAATAATAATAAAAAATTTACGTCTATTTACACTTATTTAATTTTATGAATTTTGTATCTATTTGTTTGAATAATATATATTATGGACACTATTCTTCTAAGAAAAAATTTCAATGAAAAATGAATTTTTACAAGAATGTTTTTATTTGTTTTAATTTTAATTATAATAATTTATAAAGTTTTAAATCGTTTAAAACTCCGTATTTATTTGTACCGGTTAGGTGATATTGCTATTAAGTAAACAGCTATATTTGTTAATAATAAATATATAATCATACTACAATTTAGCGACCACCAGTATTTTAAAAAGATTTTCTAATTATATAAAAAGGCGCTCACGTTATATTCCTCGAGCTATATTTACAGATATGGCTCTCCCAGAAAAAAATAATATAAACTTCCGGCGGCTAATCTGTCAATAGAGCTGTCAAAAGTGGATCAAAACGCATACCTCTAGGATAAACAATGCATCTTAAACTAAAAGTAGGTAATATTGTTTAAAATCATATTAATTAATCTTTAAATCAACTAATCTCCATCAGCTAAAGTTTCAGAAAAGTATATTTTATTTTTGAAAATAGTTACATTGTACTAACAGATGACTAAAAATGGCTAAAATCAACAACTTTTTAGCGATTTAAAACAAATATAAATCAATTTAAACTACTTTTGAAATACAGCAATGTATTTTGCTCATTAGCAATCAGTGTTATAAAATCCCGTGGAATTAGGTATCTCCAAAGATTCGCTAAAATATACATGATGATAAAATGCACTAAACGTAATAAAAACAATTTTTTATCGTCAAAATCTCTATTTTATTATAAAGAGGAAAGATCAACTCATTCTATGAAATTGAAATTAAAGCTAAAATAAAAGCTTCAAAAAATATTTTCCATTTTTAAAAATTAAATTTAAACTTTAGATATTGCGTTTCAAATATATATATATATATATATATATATATATATATATATATATATTAGTTTTTACAGATGTATATGTTTACCTATCTGCATATCTCTGTATCTTCATAATCCTGTCTGTTTATCCTACATTCTTCCTGTCTATATATCTCAATCTATTCATTTATTTGTCTGCCTGTCACTGTGTGCCTTCAAATTCGATTAGATATATACGCACTTTTCGTTTGCCAATCTTCCTCTCAACCCACCCCCTTACTCTGCTCGTGTATCTCTCTCTCTCTCTCTCTCTCTCTCACTCTCTCTCTCACTCTCTCTCTCTTTTTCTCTCTCTCTCTCTCTCTCTCTCTCATACTTTCTGAAACGTTCAATAATCTACTACACATAACCTAATATGCATTCATTCGTTGACCTCTTCTCTAAACATCCACAAACGGAAAAAAAAGTAGACATAAAGACACACACACGCGCACACACACACACACACGGACGCACACACGCACACACAAACACACACACACTGCTCAGTACGCTTGTTTCACATACATGCAATTTCTGCCGCCTAACGGCCTTCACCCAACCACTCTCTTTTTCTCTTCTCTCAAAGATATCCACCTACTCCCACCAAACCTCTACATGTATATATAAATATTAGTAAGCTTGGTTTACCGCCAGTTTAAGCATACACAAGCTGATTCTTGTATCATGGCTTCTCTGTCACCATTTTTGTTGGCACTCCTCGCCGTCTCGGGTGTTGTCATCAGTAGCCAAGGCCAATCAGAGGTATAATAATTTATTTTTTATTCACTTTGGTGATTGATTTGTCTTAACCCTGAGATGTGATTAATAATGGCTTCGATTTCTTTCCACATATTTTTCTTTTCTTACTTTTTATTTCCTTTTCTCGGCCGTTCTATTTTACATGATTTGTTTGCATTGTCATTGTCTGCACCGGGAGGATATGGTGGGTAGGGACAGAGGAACCGCATGATATTCACCGAAAATATACAAAGGTTAGATTAGATGAGACTACTTGTTTTTCTTTTCTTTTTTTCTTTTTCTTTATCATAACGGAGATAGATGGGTACAAGGGCCGTGTAACGAGATTAACAAACAAGAAAATTGGTGTCGCGACTAACAGACAGAATTAATAAGTAAACTCGACTGAGTTGATAGATATTTACCGGTACAAAGTTTGGAACAAAATTTACAACTTTTATAGAGTATAGAGATAAAAGCGAAAAACTGACAGGTGGACAAAGCGTTAGATATCTACATATATCTACTAGGGCGGCTAGTCAATCCCTATTGCAGACGCTTGCTCAGGCGCATTTGTGTTTATTCTACACCCACAGAACCCACCTGTGGTTTATACTGCAACTATTCTAACCAGACCTTAGTTACAGTTTCTGGGAAAGAGCATGGTCAACAATTTGAACAAGGCTGACACGCTCACGCCCTCCTCCACGATGTCTTGTGACTTCGTGCTAGCACAGCTATAGACGGCCCCACCAAGTGTTGCGTCTAGCCAATTTCACTCACAAGGCTTGGGTCAACTCGTGGTATGGTTTTCAGGCACTTTCTAAAGGTGCTGCACGCTGGGATCGACCCCTCCAGTCGGATAACATCAGGAAGGAGACTTCCTGACAAATCGACGATGGTGAGATTCGAACCCCGGTCTCATGGTCAGTATGTTCTAACCACTCGGCCACATGTCCATATACATACATACATAATAATTGTCCGACTCTGTCCATTTCATAATGTGTGAATACATATGAATAAAGACAAAAGTAAACTTGTTATTTACCGACTCGTTTCGTCCTCTGCTTGACTATATAATCACTAGCTACTCATATCCGAATACACCTGTTTGTTCGGATGGCTAACTAATCCCAGTTACAAACGCCTGCTCAGGCATATTTATGTTTCTTCAACACTGACAGAGCCCACCTGTGGCTTATCCAGAAACTATACTGAGAGGACATTAGTTTCAGTTTCTAGGAGAGAGCGCATATTCTGGTGTGATCAGCAGTTTGAACAAAGCCAGTTTGTTCAAACCCTCGGTCACGATGACTTGTGACTTCATGCTACCACAATCATCAACGACTCCTGAACAGTGTCATCTACCCAGTTTCACCTACAAGACTTGGGTCTATACGTTGTCTGGCTTTCACTCACTTTCCTACAGTGTTACATATCCGGATCTTTTCCTCAGGCCAATATTTTCAAAAAGTCATCTGCTTGACATATCAACCAGGATGAGAATCGAACTCGGGTTTCATAACAGGAATGCGAATGTCATAATCACTCGTTTAGAACTATACATACATACATACATACATACATACCATAAAATGGAGTAAGTCCGAAAAGTATTTAATGTATTTTGTGTTTATACTTATTTTTATACATACAATTTATTTAAGTAAATATTCTGTTTTTAATTAAACAGTATTAGTTACAGTTACCAGTATGAATCTTAAGATATAACATACAAACACAAAATATATTAACTAATTGTCGGACTTAATCCATTTCATAATATGTTTTAAATTTTTACGTTAAGATACGTTTCGTGAGCAGAAATGATCGATCGAGAAAAATCGTCGAAGATTGTGTGTTTATAAACAGTAATTCGGACTTTGCTAACCAGACGCTTCTCTGTAACTGAATGGTACAGCACATCATGCCAAATGACGGTTTCCGTAAAAGGAATACATGTTCGATTCCTGTCGGGCAACGCATATTTTCTACGAAATTCCTCGATCATTCGGGCTAATAAATGTAATTAATACTGTTTAATTAAATACAGAGCATTTACTTAAATAAATTGTATCTATTAAATAACGTATAAACAGAAAATATATTAAAGACATACATTGTGTCTATGAAAACGACGTATAAACAGGAAATATATTAAAGACATACATACAAAAGCAAATGAACATATACACACGAATATTGGGAACCTCTGCATAGAGTAGTTAGAGACAAAGTTTATTCCTACAGTAGTGAGTCCGATCAGATCTTATTGTGTAATATCACTTACACAACTCGCTAAATAGATCGTTACTACTGTAATGTGTTTGATCCACAATGTATGTCTCTCATTTTTCCAGCCTTGTGCCATACTAAACAGTTTTAGAAATTAATTTAATCACTTTACGGTTGAAACGATGATGACGAAAGGACGGTGAGATCTGAATGGAAAAAAAAGGTGGGGTAGGAAGTGGAGATGACGATGATAAGGGAAACAGATAACGATTGACCTTTGACTTGAAGATACGTACAAATATTGGAAAGCACTCCTTAAGAGTGGTGATAAACAAGCTAACTCGAAGACAACGATAGAGAGTTCGATCCTACTTGGTTGCCTCACACTTGTGACCAAAGTAATCAGATCCGCTTTTCTGTAATTTTAACCTCCCAAGCTCACTAAACAGACTACTGTAATAAATTTGATCCACACTAAGCGCCTTTCATTTTACAGCTTTTTAGGAAATTAATTTAATTCCTTTTTTTTTTTCATTTATGGATAGCAAATTATCCTAAGAAACTAGTTCGATTCACATTATGTATCGAATATATGTGACCTTCAGTCAGACGAAAAATTAGCTTAGAAAAATTACACGAAAGTTAGCAAGCCCGTTTCAAAATATTTGTAAGTGTACAGAGTTCTTACCTCAGTAGAAACCCCGTTAAAAATGACCTTGTGACAAAGCTTGCCTAAGCTTATTAAATAACTAACCCTTGCCAATTTAGCGACAGTTGCCTAACGATCACTAACATAGAAAATGAAATCGACGATCCAAGTTAAAATTCCGATTAAGACAGTTTGTGTTTACTTCGCACTAAAGCCCTTGGGAAAGTTAAGAATGCACCTTTTCTTACATTGTCCTTATCTACAGAAAAGACTATGATCAGTAGCCATTGGTGTTAACCAGTCTAGAACAACTCTGATTTCAAAAGTTCCCTCCTTCACTTCCAACTATGGCAAGAATATGGAAGTAGTGCACCCCTACTCCTGTAAAAAATACGTGTTAAATATGAAAAATACAGGAAGTGAAGAGGCGATTGGATTCAGAATAAAAGACTTTCGATGCTCTCGATTTGCGTAACACTTTTGATTTTGTGCCAAACTCAGCCAAGCTACGTATTGAATAACTGACAGGTTTACGCTTTTTTATTATTTATTTAATATTTATTATTTTTATTAATCAGTATTATTATTATTATTATTATCAATATCATTATTACTATTATTATTATTTATTTATTGTTTATTTTTATTATTTATTATTATTATTATTGTTATTTATTATTATTATTATTATTATTATCAATATTATTATTATCAATATCATTATTATCAATATTATTATTTATTATTATTAAATCAATGTTATTATTATTAATATTATTATTATCAATATTTTATTAATAATAATTATTATTATTATTAATATTATTATTAATCAATATTATTATTATTATCCATATTGTTATTATTATCAATATCTTTATTACTATTATTATTATTTATTTTATTATTTATTTTATTATTTATTATTATTATTAATTATTTTTATTAATATTATTATTATCAATATTATTATTATCAATATTATTATTAATAATTATTATTATTGTTTATTATTTATTATTATTAATCAATATTATTATTATCAATATTATTATTAATAATAATTATTATTATTAATAATATTATTATTAATCAATATTATTATCATTATTATTATATTATTATTTATTTTTATTATTTGTTATTAATATTATTATTAATCAATATTATTATTATTAATTTTATTATTATCAATATTATTACTAACGAGGAAACTTTGCGCGCTCGCTATCTGGTAATTTTTCTAAGAAAAATTAGTTGTTTTTCTATAGAATTAATGTTCACTATTTATGAAATGTTCAAGGGGCTGTAGACGTTCAATATATTTGTTCAAAGAATAAGACTATAAAGATTGAATAAATTAATTGGGCAGATGTGGGGGCTAAGTTTTACAAATAGATGCCAACTTGTTGAAGGCCAAGTAAAAAGCAAATTTCAAAGTTTTCTGCACTAAGAAACTATTCTTAAACAGAGCTATTTTTCATAAGAAAATCAAAACAATCCTCGAATAAAAGAATCGCAATGAAGGACAGTTAATTAATGAAATATACTTTTTTTAAAATCAATATGCAAATTAGTTAAGCCTGAAAAGTGATATCGCCCAGAAGTCGATAATATATAGCTCAGATATTGATCTTTTAGCGTGTAAATTGCTATAACCTCAATTGAGCTCCTATTTATTCATATAGATTATTATTATTTGCTATTATTAAAGACTCGTGAAAATTTTACGGTTTTCCTATGTGAATCTTTATTCCTAAGTAAATTATTGAATAAGCTCATGGCGAGTTCTAAGGCAATAAAATATCCGTAAAAATTCCCCCATCGCATCGTTAAATATTTCAGCTTAACACTTTAACAAAATATTGCAATAACAATCATAAATATGAAGGCTCGACGTTATTTTAAGAAGTAAGGGGGTACAAATGAAAAGATTGAAAATTGACTAATTTTACCATTTCATTGAAACAGACATTAAACACTTCTATCTTCTTTCTTTCTTTCTTTCATTTTCCCACTGAAACCAAGTAGAGTCTTTTCACTTCTTTCCATGCGATCAAAACGGAATAGTCCATTATTTGTGAGGTACTGCTAGGGCGTAACAGACGCGCGAACTAACAAAGGCAGAGACAAACACAATTATTATATGATGATTATTATTATTCTCGGACTTACCGTAATTCCCCAAGTATAATACGTCTTCATCCATAATACGAACCCCTAAAATTGAGCTGAAAGTATGGGAAAATGCTTCTACTCACGCATAATACGCATCCTTTGTTTTGTAATCAAAACATATTATTTGTACCTCTCCAATTTCATTACGGTCAGCGTTTCCTACTCTTATTTAAAAAATGGTTTTAAACATAGAATAATATTATTCTAATTTAGTTTTATGATAATTCTGATTTTATTTTAAATTTATAAGTATTGTTAGGTACATATGATTGTAGTTGACATCCTGATAGGTGTCGCAATCGCCGAATGTTAAATTGTCGTATGTTTGTAGTGAGTGGTCATTTCACATCTGAAATCAACCTATGAAACGGCTATTTTTTAAAGATTTTTTGTAGCTGTGCATAATACGCACCCCTAATTTTATTTATCATTTTTTTTTAAAATGCGTATTATACATGAGAAATTACGTGAAATCAACTGTTATCGGTGTTTGTTGTCGTTGTTCAAACTCAGTTAAGATGTATTATCTCAAATGCCAAGTTTCAAGATATTTCGAGACGTCTCGCATGAAAAATTAACGCTATGCAATCATCCTGTTCACACCTCAGCTCCCAGGCGTGACGACTGCGTTCAGGCATAAAACAGACTGTCGCCGCTGGATGTTGACCTCAATGTCCATTCATATATATATATATATATATATATATATATATATATAATATATATATAGGGAAGGCTACTGAATAGAATAATCACACGAAGGGTGGTAATGGACGACAATACTTAGGACACGAACAACACATATAAGATTCGCCAACGGCGCGTAGAAGTTGTCAAGTGAATTCCATCGTTAGTATCCAACTGCAGACCAACATACAGTATTTAATACTGTATTTATGTGAATGGGGACATACCTATTATCGTCCGTAGGTATGCTACAACAATATATATATATATATATATATATATATATATATATAATGCTCATCAGTGCGGCTAGACATCCGGTTGCCTCTATATCGAAACCCGATAGGAATGGATAGATTTTTATATTTATTTTTTTATGTATGCCCAGTGACTGACAGTGACTCAATTCGCTTATATCTCGCTATATTAGCTATAATAGTCACTGTTTACAAACCCACACCTCACTCCTAGAGTGCTCAACTGAAATCAAATGAGCTAATATAATGTCATCCACAGACAGACTGTTTCGCTGTTTACAGCTCATCAGTGCGGCTAGACATCCGTTTGCCTCTAGCTAGGATCGAAACCCGACTGGTGTCAGTCGGAGCTTCTAACCACTAAGCCGTCGGCAGGAATGGAGGTAGAGTTTTAGCGTATTTATTTTTTTGTAAACATGCCCAGTGACTGACAGTGACTCAATTCGCTTACGCGAAGAGTCTCGCTATATTAGCTATAATAGTCACTGTTTACAAACCCACACCTCACTCCCAGAGTGCTCAACTGAAATCAAATTCAGAATTGCTAATATATATATAAAGCTGCTGGTAGATAGATAGATAGATAGATAGATAGATAGATAGATAGATAGATAGATTGATTCGACTAGAATTACACAGATAGATAGATAGATAGATAGATAGATAGATAGATAGATAGATAGATTTATATGAACAAACATAGATAGATACACAGACAGCAGATAGATAGATAGATAGATAGATAGATAGATAGATAGGTAGATAGATAGATAGATAGATAGATTATATGAACAAACATAGATAGATACACAGACAGCAAATGGATAGATAGATAGATAGATAGATAGATAGATAGATAGATAGATAGATAGATTATATGAACAAACCGAGACAGATACACAGACAGCAGATAGATAGAGAGAGAGAGAGAGAGAGACAGACAGACAGACAGACAGACAGACAGAGAAAGAGAGACAGAGACAGGCAGGCTTAGGCGTACATATGAAAAAAAGAACAAGTCAGAGGTGAGTGTGTCTTTGTCTGCGTTTGCTTAGATATCTGTGATCGCCATCAGAAATTAACGCTTGCAATAAACTGGATACATATGTAATTAAATTAAAGTGTTTTAATTAAGGCCAATAATCGCTGCCATTAGCAATTAGAATAACGCACCATAAATGCAAATCTCTATTCTCGTCAGTCAAAGCTGCAGATCTCGTTGAAAAAAAAAAGTTACGACAACTCACTTGAAGAAAATATTTGAGCTGTTGAACCAAATGATAATCAGATACTTTTATGCTTAAAGATTATGGAATAAGAGATAAAACTAATTATTTTAACATCATCTAGTTTTTTTGTTACTATAGGAAGCCTTGTCTTGTCACATTAGCGAATTCTTTCCATTTCTTTCACGTTTGATACAAGACTGACACGTTTAAGTTGTCGACAATAATGTTCTGCGGTAATCTGTTTCCAAGATTCCGTAAACTCAAATAGATACAATTCGTGATTATTATTAATTTTAGAGGGCCTTACTTGAAGGATTTTTCTAAAGGTAAGTTTAAGTTTTGTGGTTAGTTTGTTAATTTACCCTCATGGTATTTAGATATTTTGCTGAACGCCATGTCGATGAATTATCTCGTCAGCTGCTTCAAAGCACTTATTGCTTTCAGTGTCTAGCTCTATAGTCTTGAACCTCTAATTCACTGACTGAGCAATAAGATCCAAAATATCTTCCTGGGTAAGACGTTAAACTACATACGCGTCCTGAGTAAGACGTTAAACTACGTCCGCGTCCTGGGTAAGAAGTTAAACTACGTCCAACAGCAAGGCCTCTGATCAAGAGGTTTTGAGGAGCGTGGAACCACCTCTTAATTGCTGAAGTTCCCAGGTCAACCTTGACCCGGGGTGGCAGCACCTGTTAGGGTCCCAGCTATGGGCAAATAGTTAACTATTACCAGCAATACTTTTTTTTAAAAAAGATTATTACCAGGAATACAATTAAGTAAATATATTATCAGAAACAGATTTTTGACTAAACAAAATATTACCAGATATAAAAAACTTTCTCGGCCTTAAATAACCCATTGAGGTTGATATGCCGTAAAACAAAATAAACCAAACCAATCTAAACCAAAGAATACATATTCTATTCAAACGAATCTATCCTAAAAATGTTGTCGGCATTAAATAACCCGTTGAGGTTGATATGCCGTAAAACAAAACAAACCAAACCAATCTAAACCAAAGAATACATATTCTATTCATACGAATCTATCATATAAATGTTGTCGGCATTAAATAACCCATTGCGGTTGATATGCCGTAAAACAAAATAAACCAAACCAATCTAAACTAAAGAATACATATTCTATTCATACGAATCTATCCTAAAATTCTTGTCGGCATTAAATAACCCATTGAAGTTGATATTCCGTAAAACAAAATAAACCAAAGCAATGTAAATCAAAGAATACACTGCGTGCCAAATTATTATCGAGATAACTTTTTTTCTAATATTTCAAAAACTGTCCTCTCAATTCACACAAAATTTTCCCACAATGTTGGCAACACTGACCTGCACAATCACTGAAAGTTTCGTTTATTTGTATTTTGTATTATCAGTACGGTGATTTGAGCGTGCCAAATTATTAGAAAGGTTTAGTAAAATTCCCAGAATTGAGCAAACAAAACGTTTATTAATGTTGCACGTGAATGTTTATGATCAAAAGAAGCTAATAAATAAGATAATCAAACAAATAATAACAGATACAAAGAAAGGCTGTTTTAAACAAATTAATAGGGAATGTGTTTTCCCTGTTTTGAAATTACTTGAAGAAGTCGACGATCCATAGAATTTGTTAATTGTAGGATGTCATCTGCTGTAATGCCGCGAGATATGTCAAGAATTGCTTCCCGCAACTCAGCGTTGCTCCTGAAATAAAGTCCGTTGACGTACAGTCTTCGCTTCATAATACTCCAAAGGTTTTCGATTGGGTTCAAACCCGGAGAATTTGCTGGCCACTTCATTTTTTGAGGTCCATCGAAGCCTAACTGTTTCAAATATTCAGTAGTCTTGTGAGCAGAATGTGAGGGAGCATTATCTTGCATGAAAACAATGGCCCTTCTGAAGGTAACTCTTTGCCTTTTCATCCACGGTTCAAGATGCTCCTTCATAAACGCTATGTATGCATCAGCAGTCATTTTGACGACATCTGGTACTCTCCATAGGCCCACTAATGTTTTTCCAATAATCCCACCCAGATCATTATGCCTCCACCGCCTTGTTGGCGTCTCAAACGCTGATGGCGATTCTGTCCGTTCATTACCCAGACTTTGCACCATCTATCTGGCCTATCAAATGTTGCTCGAGTTTCGTCTGTGAACAAAACTTTAGAGAAGTCAATCTTTATATTGTTCTCGGCTCATTTCAATCGATTTTGAATGTGATTTCTCGTCAACGGAGGCTTCGATACTGGTTTGACTGTTGTTGCTATTTCCCTCAGATACCGACAGCGAGTATTTTTAGACACAGTAGGATCCCCAATGCGACTGAAAAGCTCTTGACCGGTAAGTCCAGGGTTCTTCGTGGCCCCTCGTTTAAGTCATGACATGAGACGACGTGAAATAACCCTCGGCTTGCCTTTATCTACCCTTTTACGTACTTGTGTAGGGTCGGCGGTGAACTTTTTCACTGTTTGAGGACACCTCCCTATCATTTTAGAAATTTCTAAGGTAGATTTACCTTTTGAGACTTCTGAGGTGATAGTTTTCTTTTCGGCATCACTTAAACTGCTTTTACGGCCCATCTTTTCACTAAATTCTTACACTTTTCTAATAATGTGGCACGCTCAGATCACCGTGCTGATAACAAATATGTCACCAGTTTGTTTACATTGCGCAGATCAGTACGAAAATTTCAGTGATTGCGCAGGTCAGTGTTGCCAACATTGTGTGAAAATTTTCTGTAAATTGAGTGGACGGTTTTTGAAATATTAGAAAAAAAGTTATCCTCAGAATAATTTAGCACGCAGTGTACAGATTCTATTCATACGAATCTATCCTAAAAATTTTGTCGGCCTTAAATAACCCATTGCGGTTGATATTCCGTAAAACAAAATAAACCAAACCAAACTAAGACCCAAAAAAAGATTCTCACGATATACCCTCATCATCCGCTTCTACATGATCAATGTATATCTGTTAGCCTAAAAGATTTTGCGTGTTTCACAAACTGTTTTTTAAATATTGATGATATATCTATAATTTTCAATTCTTGGCTTCACAGCCGTCATACACAATTAAATATTTGTATTGTTTACTCTTTATTTTAATGCGTTTTTAGGTCATCAAATACAACAATTTCTTTTGTTGTTATTTTCAGAGTGGCTCTGCCGGTCAGTTGATCAACATCGATGTGAACCATCACACAGTCCAGGAGCTTGTAAAAGCTCTTCCGTCAATGACAAACTCTCTTAATGGCTTGGAAATTGTTAAAGTGGTTCAAGCCCAAATACAGGTAAGCGACGATATTTCTGTAATATTTCCGGGTTATTTAAAACGATATTCGCCAAGAGAAACACATGGATACTTGTCCCAGGGTATAAAGGCGTTGGTGAGATCCAGTGACTAGACCGAAAAAGTTATGAGTTCAATAACAGGCTACAGTAGTGGTGAACCAAAACTTGGAGTGTTGATTTAAAGGGAAATAACTGAGACATCCAGAAGAGACAGACATATATATATATATATATATATATATATATAGATATATATAGATAGATAGATACACCTAGGAGCCAGACAAACCTACCTGGTGAACTAAACGGATCGTCAAACCTACCTAAACGAGGCAAAGAGAAACGCATATTTATAGGCGATAGCTAAATAAATAAATATGCGTTTCTTTTTGCCTCGTCAGCCTTACTTTCCCTGACGATCCGTTTAGGTGAAACCTAGGTAGGTTTGTCTGGGTCACTAGGTGTATCTAGGTCTGCTCTACGGTTGTAATGAGCGCTTTTGTTAGTTAGTTGTTTACTCGTATCGGGTTTTTTTCTTTGGGCTTCAGACCTGCATCTGTGCGATTTTTTTGTTGGCAGAAGTTCATGTTTGTAGCTCTTTCTTTTTTTGAAACCTTTTTTCCCTCGAGATTGATTTGATTATTAGCAAATCAAAAATTCGAGGGATTTTCGAAACGAGTCTAGTTATCTATATTTGTATATATATATATATATATATATATATATATATATATATATATATATATATATATAGTGTATTAGGACATCAGATCATTATTTAAACATATATTGTTAAATATAACAGAATACGAATATCAATTATGTTTGATCAGGAGCCGTTCTAAGCTTCGTATAGTGGCTTTAGTTTCGGAAGAAAATAAAGGCAAAAACTGTCCAACATTTGGATTTTTTTTATTATGCTGTTCCTTGATCTAAGCTTTCGACTCACATCAACCATCATCATATATAATGTCCATATAACCACTCTGATGATGGCTCATGAGCTGAAAACTTAGATCGAGGAAAAGCATAATAAAAAATTATGGACAGATTTTGACTTTATCTTCTCCCGAAACTAAAGCCACCAAAACCGCCATGATCAAACATAAACATTTGGATATATATATATATATATATATATATATATATATATATATATATATGTGTGTGTGTGTGTGTGTGTGTTTCTGTGTGTGTGTATATGTGTATATATGTATATATGTGTTTGTGTGTGTGTGTTTCTGTGTGTGTCTGTGTTGTGTGTGTTTTGTGTGTGTGTGTGTGTGTGTGTGTGTTTCTGTGTATGTGTGTGTGTTTTTGTGTGTGTGTGTTTCTGTGTGTGTGTGTTTCTGTGTATGTGTGTGTGTTTTGTGTGTGTGTGTTTCTGTGTGTGTGTGTTTCTGTGTATGTGTGTGTTTTGTGTGTGTGTGTGTGTTTGTGTGTGTGTTTGTGTGTGTGTGTGTGTTTTCTGTGTGTGTGTTTCTGTGTGTGTGTTTTGTGTGTGTGTGTGTGTGTGTTTTTGTGTGTGTGTTTCTGTGTGTGTGTGTTTTGTGTGTGTGTGTTTCTGTGTGTGTGTGTTTTGTGTGTGTGTGTTTTTGTGTGTGTGTGTGTGTGTGTGTTTTGTGTGTGTGTGTGTTTCTGTGTATGTGTGTTTTTGTGTGTTTTTTGTGTATGTGTGTGTGTTTTCTGTGTGTGTGTGTTTCTGTGTGTGTGTGTTTTGTGTGTGTGTGTGTTTCTGTGTGTGTGTGTGTTTCTGTGTGTGTGTGTTTCTGTGTGTGTGTGTGTTGTGTGTGTTTTTCTGTGTGTGTGTGTGTTTGTTTGTGTGTGTGTGTTTTGTGTGTGTGTTTCTGTGTGTGTGTGTTTCTGTGTATGTGTGTGTGTTTCTGTGTGTGTGTGTTTGTGTGTGTGTGTGTGTTTGTGTGTGTGTGTGTGTGTGTTTCTGTGTGTGTGTGTGTTTCTGTGTATGTGTGTGTGTTTTGTGTGCGTGTGTGTGTGTGTGTGTGTGAATTATAGAAGTTTGGTCAAACAAAGGAAAGTTCTTTGTTAATGATGTTTCTTTAATTTTACTATATTTCGGACCATATTCCTTGTTTCCGGTACATTTTTAAATATAAATTGTCCAACGTCTTAGTACTTTCGGTTTTCATAATACATTTATAGAATTTGCCGTTATTTTAGCGTTTTCAAATATCGCGTTTTCTCATGTATTCACGTCTCAATTTATGTTTTCTTTTTTGGGTTTTTTTTTATTGACGTGCAAATGTCATGGAAGGTGGGCCTGGTATCTTGCAGAACCCCCCACTGGAGAGACATTGAACCATACTGACCGGATAGCTCTCCATATAATCTTTTACCCTGATACGAAAAGGTTTATGTTGAACTGAGTAAAATGCACACACCAAAGAATGTCCTACAATTTAAACGCTAAAACTCCGTAGATCAATCAATCAACAAAATAAAGAAATTCCCGCCAAAATTCTGATAAGTTTGCGACTTGACTCCTAAGAGTTTTCTAGGGTCAGGTGAGAAACCAACCATCCGTGAATAGGAATTAACGAAGGCAAATTTCAATTCTAAACTCCCAGTCGTGATTTTTAGCGGCAATTTAGAATCCCGGCACAAAAAAAAAAGAAAAGAAATTAGTGGACTATGTGTTCTCTTCAGATTCATGTCTGTAGTGAATTGTGCGTTTTCAGAAGGAAAAACGTATTTCTTCGGACAGTTGTACAAATTGCTTTTAGGCCACGAGGGAAACGGAATTTGGGATACTTGCTTTTTTTTTCCAATTTAAAAGTTAGAAACTTACACTTGAGTGTTTTCGGCGAAATTGGTTCCTTTCCAGCGCTATTGATCGAAGACGACAAGATGGCTCCAGCATTTGAATCAAAACGGGCAAGTTCAATATAACTGACGCCATGAACCTTATGCAACTTCTTGAACGGTTCATAGAAATAGGAGAAAAGATTTTACATGATCTTTGGCAGATAAGCTTAATATATTCGAAGGGGCGCTGAAAAGTCCAGAGTCCAACAAGAAGATATTCCCTCGAAAATTCTAATGTTTCGTCAATTGGTTATATTTTAGGAAAGGTTGCAAGTCAATAACTTTTCAGAAGTCCTCGGGTGAATGTGTTCGAGCAAGTGTATAGGTGCAAATTATATGTACATTTGTAATAATATATAACTATAATATAAGTATTATAAGAATATGAATATACATACATGCATATATATATATATATATATATATATATGTGTGTGTGTGTGTGTGTGTGTGTGTGTGTGTGTGTATTACACAAAAAACATGTAAAAATCGCTACACAATTGCAGTCGTGTTTCAATGCGTATCAATGCATCTCCTCAGGGGATTGTAAATTACTGGCGAGTGGACGATATTTTAGGTTTAAAAGCAAAATACAACCTCTTTTTACGAAAAAAATGAAAAAAGTGGGTGATAGGGTCTGTGGGCTTTACTGTGCAATCAAATATGACCAAAGTTAAATTTAAATTAAGCGAAGAGGCAAACTTTAAAGATTATTTTTTTTATAAATGGGTAGATTAGCAGCTAACGGCAGCCAGACGTAAACTAAAGCGGATACATATGGTAACATAAACTATACAAACAGACAATGCAGTTTCCTAAGAAATAAAAGTGTTTTTCATCTGAAAAAAACTTTCAGGTGAACACGACAAATTTAAAAAAAATGTTTGATGATGACATTGTCGAAAGTACTCGGAATAAATGTCGAAAGTAATCGGAATAAATGAATATGTATCAACCTGGATGTACCTTTCTCTCTTTCTTTAATAAGGATACTAAGAAGCTTGTCTGGGAATATGAGAGGATCCTATTGAAAATAACTAGACTAAACTTGTATAAATTATTCATTGAAACCTGTCTTAATTTATATATATATATATATATATATATATATATATATATATATATATATATATATATATATATATATATATTATATTGGGTTGGTGCATAATTATCAGGCATTTTTAAAAATATTTATTATGAAAAAAGAAATATAACAATTCAACAATAACATTTTTAAATGATTATTCGGGAGTGTATGATTATCGACACGCATTTTTATAACCTGAAAATAAAATACTATTTTTATTTTAAAAAAAAGTAAAGAAAACAGCAATTATTATTAACAAATAACCCGCCTACAAAAACGCCTGATAATTACGCACCAACCCAATATATACACACACACACACACATATATATATATATATATATATATATATAGAGAGAGAGAGAGAGAGAGAGAGAGAGGAAGGGAGAGAGAGAGAAAGAGAGACAAAAAAAGAAAGAAAGAAAGAAAGAAAGAAAGAAAGAAAGAAAGAAAGAAAGAGATAATTGAGTTGTTTTTTTCTCTACTCCATTCTGTTTTCTTCAAGGAAACATAGAAAACAAAATTGTCATTTTCACTTCCAGAGTAGTCGTCAATTTTGTAAATATCATATTTCCTCAAATCTGTGTTGTACGAGATTTTTATTTCATGGAAAATATCTACGAGTTTAAAATTTGAGGTTAAAATTCTATAAAAAAAAAGTTATCACTTCCAAACTAAGAATGAAATTCAGTCTCTCATAAATAGTTACTCTCTTTCCGTGTGTGTGGATACAGTGAAGATATCATAAAAATGCAAGTGAAACTGTTCTTATGTTTTTTCAGGTTGTTTCTGGATTTAAATATATCTTGACTGTCCAAACCCGCGGTAAAGGAATGAATGGACCAGCAGTAAGTAACTTTTCTCCAATAGTCATTTTTTATATTTTATACAAGGTGTCCATAAAGTTCGTGTGCACTTTAAAAAATAACTTTATTTGTATTTGCAATAGAAATAATTTGTAAAAAGGATTAGAAACTCAACTCCCTAAACTTAACCCCTTTTTTCGAACATAACTAATAACTGATACAACAAAATTTAATAAAAATGAACACGCTACCACCCCTTTTCTGAATGATTGGATTTCTCTGTATCCTTGGAAACAGTGAATTAAGAATTTTTGTGTGCGTTTAAAACTCGCTAAATTTTTAAAATAAGTTACTCCAATATTCGCTTGAAGATAAAATGGAACTCATGTTTTTAATTTAATTACAAAGTTTTCAGCTTCCATTTTTGAAACATGGTTATTACTGTGTAGCGAAAAAACATATCTTAAACCAGTTAATATATATATAATCGATTCTCCCGTCGAGATTCGACGTATGAGGGTCAAGCAGATCAGTTTCCAGGAAACCAACAGCCCGACACCGGCACATGAGATTTGATTATAGTGTTGAAGACATCGTGCAGGACCATCCACACTTTTTGAAGGGACGAATATATATATATATATATATATATATATATATATATATATATATATATATATATATTTTTTTATGTTTAACGTTGTTATTTTATAGATACAAGTATTTAAGCAAATGCTCTGTTTATCATAAACAGTATTAAATAACATTTACCGGCCTGAATGACATTCAGGCCGGTAAATGTTATTTAATACTGTTTATCATAAACAGAGCATTTACTTAAATACTTGTATCTATAAAAAACAACGTTAAACATAAAAATGTCTTTAATAAATAAATTGTCGGACCTTGTCCATTTCTTAACATATATATATATATATATATATATATATATATATATATAAACAAGAATACATACAATTATGAAAAAATAAGTCTATGTGCAAACGTCGGTTGTCTTGAAAAAGCAGTTGCACAAAACATAAAAGTATAAAAAGTCTAACTAGGATCATCGTTTGTTACAGTTATAAAAATAATATAGTAAATAAAAACAGGTATAAAATAACGTTGCTGCTGTCATTGTATAAACATATGTAGCTGAAGAAAGCGAATTATTACCATTGATCTGTCACACTACCGACGATGACAGAGTCGTTGTTATCAGGTGACCAATGTCTATTGCGTGTGCTGGTTGTGTTTAAGTAGAAAACAGGTGAATCCTGTTATAATTTTCCCACAACAATGATTACGGACTCAAATGTGAGTACGAATAATGAATGAATAAATTAACAACAATATATATATATATATATATATATATAAAAAAAGGACAATTATTATTAACAAAAGTTATGCATAGACAATAACTGAAGATTGTTGAGTGTGACAAAACAGTGAATATGAAAGAAGAAAACATTAGACTAAAGAATGTATTTATGTGTAGTTGGTGTAGTAAAAATTCTAGAGAAAAGTAAATGGAAATTAAGTGAAATGTGTGTGTGTGTGTGCGTTCCATTGTGTAGAACGCTTTTCTTCAGGAGCGACCTATATCTTTCCGTCTAAGTGACTAATAGAAAAGACAATGACGGAGAATGACACTTCCTATTAGTAGGCATAGGGAGTGTCCCGTAATCTCACACACACACACACACACACATACATACATACATACATACATACATACATATATTATAATTATTTTTTTTTTAAATATGATTCCTTCGCTACATGAGTTTCCATGTTTCAAAAACAAGAGCCAAAAGGTTTTTGGCTCTTCTTTTTGAAACATGAGAACTCTTATGTAGCGTTGGAATCGTATTTTTTAAAAAATAATTATAATGTAAGCTCTGCTTCTGTATGGAGCACTGTTTTTTAAAAATAAAAACAAAAATACTAATGAACTCTGGATTATTTGCCTAACGTGTTCTTTCCTATTTGTCTATATATTTGCATGCACACACACACACACACACACACACACACACACACACACACACACACACACACACACACACACACAAATATATATATATATATATATATATATATATATATATATATATATATATGCAGGTTTTGAATTAAATAAAGTATTGTATTAAATGTTTTTGCTTACATGACAGTTATTATTATTATTATTATTATTATTATTATTATTGTTGTTGTTGTTGTTGTACAGACTCAAGAGTGCAAGGTGTCCATCTGGATTCAGTCTTGGTTGGAAAAGCGTACGTTAACTTCAATGAAATGCAAGCCAATCAATGCTTTGGGAATGGTTGGCGGATGGAGTGAAACTAATTTCACTGACACCGTTCAGAAAGCTACAAATATTGGTTTGGAACTTATCAACAGCAGATGCAACTGTTTGTTCAGAAAGAGCATCACGAAAGTAAAGAAAGTACAACAAAAAGTGAGTTCGATTTCCATCCAATTCTTGCATTTTTATCCGTTAATCAGAAATTGTTTCAACTAATACTTTCATTCTGTAAAGTAAATTTAATACAGATTTAGAAAGTGTTCTCCGAAATGCTTTGATGAAACTTCTTTCTCTTTTTTTTTTTTTTTTTTTTTTTTAATGACTACGCTCAAAGGAGAAAAAAAAACATGGGTAATTTGCTTTTTAAACCCCGCGCTGAATATGTAATAAAAATTTCCCGAATAGTTCCAGGTGTAAATGTAAATGCTTAATTCGAAAATAAAGAATTTTTTATAAAATCTACCATTTTGGAGTTATTGACAATAGAAGTTCGGACTCATTCGCGTTGCGACAGCCATTACTGGCGTTGTTTGCATATATTTGCTGCGGAACAGTCTTGCTTATTGTGCACGCAATGAGTCCTTAGTTGCGCAGTAATTCAGTAAAGTAAGAAGAACCGTAAAAAGGCCGTTAACAATTCCGCGCAAATCTAATCAGCAGAGAATGTATACAAACAAAGCCAGTAATGGCTGCCGTAACGCGAATGAGTCCGAAATTGTATTGTCGATAACTCCTAAACGATACATTTTATCAAAATTTCTTTATTTTTCGAATTAAGCATATACATTTACACGTAAATATAAGTATTCGGCATTTTTTTATTATATTTAGCTCGGGGCTTAAAAAGCAAATTACCCAAAAACTGAGCTACTTAATGAAGAGGGTTTCTGTTAAAATATTACGACGAATAAGTTGTGTAATTAAAATTAGAGATGAGGTTGTAGGGACTATCGATTATGAGTATAAAAAGGATAGATAATGATTGGCCCTTGACTTAAAGAGATTATGATTCCAGACAAGAATCCACAAAAGAATTTGTTCGACAAAGTTCTTGTGAAAGAATCTGTCTGATTGGAACACGGAGAAAAGAAGGATGATTCAATTCCGTGAAAGTAGCATTTTGTGTCTTAGCTTTAAAGGTCTGAACTGGCGGAACCAAAAAATGGAGTTCATTTGAAGATTTGCGATGGTAATAACGATAGCTTGCCTCTGTGGGGAAGAGGCTGCAGAGTAAAGAATAAAATTTCAACCCACAAGATGACATAAATGATTTTGAGCCCTATCGAGAATTAGAAAGTGGGCGTGAATTAAGCGTGCGCTGTAGTGATGCGTTGATTGGTATTATATGAATAGATTTAATGTTGCAATGGCATTTAAGTTTGTCTTTGTTGTCATTAATCTATATTGCAATGGTTCGATTTTTGTGTGTTTGTGCCTCTGTTACTCTAGCATATAAATCAACACATCGTAGCGCAATACTCACTAGAGCAATATTGTTAAAATTCTCACATTTGAAGAATAAAGCAATTTCTATTTCAATCGGACCGCCAGTTTCTAGGCAATTTTTTTAATTTACTATAAGTAGGCACGACCATCTAAGGGAGATTACTGCAGTTCTATTAACTGCTACTTACAGAATTGTTTCCATTTTTCCTAAAAAGAAAATAATATTTATAAACATGGAAAATCCTTGAAACTCGGTAATCTGTTACATTAACAAATAACTGTAATATAAAACCTACATATAATGAGTGAATTGACATTAAGTATTTGATAAAAGAAGAAAGAGCAGACACCAACTCTAACCCTCCTCCTAGCAAGTATGATATTGAGCCTCATATATTTATTGTAGTTTAATTAAGGAAATAAAATGAGAGAGAAGGGTTTACTGAGACGAGACTCTGCATCCCGACACAGCCCCGTCTGAGGATCCCCACCGCCCGGAGGCCGAGAGTTTGACCAGCACAGCTGGAGATGAATCTCCAACTGGAGTTTATCTACTGTTATGGAGTGATTTCACAGTGGAGGTTTGTATTTGTACTCAGTCGGTCTTAAAATCGGTTCGACGTACAAAACGTTAGGAACTTCATATAATAAGTATAACGCAGAGAAATCTAGTGGTGGTCGCTGATACTTTAGTATCCAACTAACGGTCGTCCGGCATCGACTGACTGACCGACCCGGTGAGCGACTGACTCGTTACTCTTACTACTCCTACTTATTATAGGTGGGAGAGTCTATTAACTATAGAATAGGTGTGTACCACTATAACATCTACCAACCACCCCACGCGGTTAGATGTGGCCCAAGGCCGAATTTAATGTGGGGTATCCGAGCTTGGAGGCTCGGCCAAAAATTCCCCGTAGACCCCGTATAAAACTGAATCAGGTAGCTGTTTCTCAAGACGAGACTCTGCCCTTCGACATAGCTTCATCTGGGGACACTCTCTGCCGGGAGGAGAGAGTTTGACCAGCACAGCTGGAGACGAATCTCCAACTACAGTATTTACTACTGTATTTATGTGAATGGGGACATACTCCTTATCGTCCGTAGGTAAGCGACAACACGAATATTAATAAATATAAAATAAAAAATAAAACAATAGGCCCTCTTCGCCATCCTGGCTAGGATGATATTGGGCCTCCCATTTATTATGGTTTAAGTAAAGAAATAAAAGTGAGAAAACGTTCATTAGTAAAAGAAGGAATCATGTTTGAAATTTGTAAAATCTTTGCATAAAATTATCTGGTTTCTTAAGGTAACTAAAAAGAATGTACGAAAAAGGGAACAATAAGTCTGTAGCCTGAGAGTTTATTAGCTGAATTTTGATGTAAACGTTTCACTGCATAAAATTTGAACTCTACATAATTAATGCTTCCTACTAAATTAAATGTTTTATCAGGGAACGAAATTATGTTGAACAAAAACTATTTGCTGTCTTTTTAGCAAAGGGATCATGTTAGAATCCACCCTTAGGTTATAATAAAATCATACTTTCAAACATGGCATCCATCACAGACTACAGTTATATTATTTACTTCCAATACAATCTTATCTTTCTATACCATTTTCGAACTTATAACACTCTGTCGCAGTTGCCATTCTTCTCCTACTGATATATTACAAATTAGGCTTCAAGTTAAAGATCACTAATTTTCTAGTTTAAATTACCATTGATCAATTAAAGGTGAAATAATAAAAGACAAACTATATAAATGTACAAGAATGCTAACAATCTTTTGAAACTGGGTTAATGTAAAAATCTCTAGAAGATTTTTAACAATATATTTTATTTATATGAGTTCATAGCATCATTATTCAGCCATCAAAGTATTTACCTGTTTTCTATAACCTTGTGAGTCCGAAATAATAACTCCCTTTACCCACTACTTTCAAATTCGGGCGAGCTGAGGTGAAAGACGGAAAGAAATTCGCGAGCCTGTGTGAAATTTTCTTTAGACCAATGAAAACCTTGTTTTCACAGGAATTAGTCGTTGGGCCTAGAAAAAGAAAGAAAAGAAAATGGCGAGGCTATGCGAAATACATTTTTTATATGAAATAAAGAAAAAATATTAAATCAACAAGTGGAGAGTGACTAAAGCCCTGTGAAAAGTTTCATTTCTGTTCATGCGTCCATTGTTCTGATTTTGGTTAGTGTTAAGTTACTCGCTAATTATATTATTGGCCTTAACGAAGAACAAGGCAATTCAAAGAACACTATTTCAACAATCAAAGAAAGCTAAGTATTTCAAACTATATCTCTTCGTCAACTTTTGAACGTATGCAACCGTATATCCTTTCTGTGAACAACGAACACTCTTAGCTTTGCTTTAAACATTTTTAATATCATTTTGTGTCAGATGATTTAATCTGTGGAATGAACATTTTCTTTTCATGATATTTCGTTGAAATTACGGACTTTAAAAATGTGTGATTTATTTTCTTGAAACGAGCTACTGGCACAACTTCAAGCGTATACATTCGTAAATAAATTCCGTATCTTCTTTTGAGATTCTCGGCCTCCATTAATCTACTTGGCGTGGGTAAACCAACTGTTCATTTTAACTTAGTCTTGTTAGGTAAATGCAATTAACGAAAATTTTATTGTTTTTGTCGGTCATGTTAGTTTGTTTGCATTTGTTTTTTGTATTTTTTTCTCTGATAAAAGTTACTCACTCCAACCATTATCTTACCCTACTGCTACACCGGCGAGAATCTCCAATTCCTCGCTAACCATTATATTTTATCAAAATGAGACAAATGCTTGCGAGAATGTATTACAATGTTCATGGCGGACACGTTAGATCAAAACATGTGAAAGATTTTCGGTTCTGAGGAATCTCGTTCAGGTAAGAACAACTAAGGAAACATAAAACTTGGTATATTCAATATTCCAGCGCTTAAGAATCGGAGTGAAGCCATCTTCGACGTTCAAGTTTCAACACTTCGTTTTCAGTAGATAATCATTTTCTGCCTAGTTCCTGGAAGAATATCAGATAAATTGCATATTCCATCATATTGGAATGGTGCAAAAAGTTTCACAATTCTTTGCAAAATATTTTATTCCTATAATTTCATCATTATCCAACAATCAAAATACATCTCGCTTTCTAACGGCTGTCGCCAGCTTTTACCTAAATTGTGCATTGCATCGTAAATTCTAAACTTAATTCGATAAATTTGTGGAGGTTGGAGGATTTTTCCAATACCTTCAACTTGTTGAAATCACAGTCTAGTTAGCGAATCATGAATGAATCAAAATATGATAGTCGAAAGATGATTAAACAAAAGGTTTTGCTGAATGTGGAGAAATTTCCATGTTCCATGTCTTAGGTGACACGTCCGACATTAGGGCAGGCATTGTCATGAAACAAAATCATATCAATTCTTTACCGTAATGAAAACGCTTCCAAAGCGTCATTCAAACAAGCCAATTACTCACTGCAGCGTTGCGTAATAGCATTTTTAAAATCCTGGAGGCTTCCAAAACATTCTTTGTTTTTTCTGCTCAAAATCACTATTTTATTAACTTACCAGAACCATTCCCGACACAAGCTTGTACATACTGCATCACTTTCAGTATCTTCAAAGATTCATTATCTTAATTCTGTTGCATTTTTCTCAAAATTAAATATCAAGAGTAGGAGATCCTTTTTATGTTTATCCCGATTTTCACAAGAATAAATCTGTCATTTTTCCGCAAACTGTGCGAGAAAACTATACCAGTAAGAATCAATAAAGACTGAAGCAAAGCTCAAAGACACTTCAAAGATTTCTCTAACGCTTACTTTTTCTCCTGTAGGTTGTTGCTGGTATGATGTACAAAATCACAATTGATATCATTGAATCTGTTTGCCGCAATACAGAAGAAAATGCAGGAAAAGGAGTTGAAACCTGTCCAGGAAATGACGGCGCAGTTGTAAGTAGATTTTTTCTGATCTTTTACCATTTATTTCAGGCAGTGAAAGAAATCAAATTCTTTAAACGATCTTTTTGAAGTAAGGTCGATAAAGCAGATCAGTTTTTGATCCCCAACTCTATCCGGTGACGCCACAAAAATAGGAAAACGAATAACTATAGAAATGTGATAATTTTCTTAAGCATATCACCCCCAAAGCAAAGCGGAAGTACCAGTAGCATGCAGGGGTTACAGGAAGTGAGAGCAACAGTAAAGAGGGGTGTTTGGAAAAAAAATAAAGAGAAGAACGGGGATCAGGATCAAGACATCAGAAGATGTCGATTGACATTACATTTGAATTAAAATATTATAACTATCAGGGAAGCAAGTTGTTATGGGATCTTACCCATAATAATAATAATAATAATAATAATAATAATGAACTATTCCATACTTAATAAATACTGCGCCTCAGTAGTAGGCAAGGAGCCAGTCGCTCACTTTCTGAGCGACTGTTCGGTTCAACTCTCTTCCTACGGACGGGAGGAACCCGAAGGAGGCTACGCCGAAGGGCGGAGTCTCCTTCGGGAGGTAAAACCGGCCCAGAACCCCGTTTATACGGGTTCAAATGGGCTATTTTTTGGCCGAGCCTAATGGCTCGGGAATGCCCACGTTAAAAAGGCCTTGTGCCACATGACACCCCCTCGTGGGGGTGACTGAATATCGCCAGTCGCTCACTTTCTGAGCGACTGTTCGGTTCAACTCTCTTCCTACGGACGGGAGGAACCCGAAGGAGGCTACGCCGAAGGGCGGAGTCTCTTTCGGGGAGGTAAAACCGGCCCTGAGCCCGTTTATACGGGTTCAAATGGGCTATTTTTTGGCCGAGCCTAATGGCTCGGAAATTCCCACGTTAAAAAGGCCTTGTGCCACATGACACCCTCGTGGGGGGGGTGACTGAATATCGTCAGTCGTTCAAGTCGAGTCAGTAGTTTAAGTCGAGTCAAGAGTCGAGTCAGAGGCAGTCCGAAACAGAGTCGCGTTCAGACAATTACTGCAAGATATTGGAATAGTGATACTGGTCGAGACTACATTGTTCTCTCTACTAAACCTGATTGTTCATACTAACACTTCTACTTCTCTGTATATATTCCTGTTTGTAAAATATCTGTGTTATTGCATACCTGTGTTCGTGTTCTTCTTTATTGGTTCTACCTTGGACTATCACCGTGGTACAAGGAACCGGACTATAACACAAGTAAAAGGAAGCAGTTCTACAGTCGGGAAGTGTGCGATAAGAAGCTGTTGGAGGAGAAGAGACGTCTACATTTAAACGTTTAGACAGTGAGAGGGTGGGACCGAGATGCCAACCTATCAGCCCGCTTAAATTCATGCAGTTTGGGGACCAGTGAAAGTAGCTAGTCAGAGCAGTTGCCATGAAAATATTTGTAGAAAAGACAGAGGGAATCCACAGCACGTCTGTGAGAGAGTGACTATAAACTATTGCCACCTATCAGAATGCATATCCGTTTCTGAATTTTATCGAGGACCTTGAGATGAACAGCGGGGGTACCAGAACTTATATGGCAACAATATTCAGTGCAAGGACGAATGTTTGACTAGTAGATTTGAAGGATGGACTCAGACGAGAAAAACCTTCTGGCGCGACACAGAGAACTAACTTTCCTTGCGGTAGATGAAGCTCTTGATTCAATGTAGTTGCTCTACGTCAGGTCAGTGAAAAGAGTGATACCACGCAGGCGCAGAGAGGCGTTCTCGTGGAGATGGTCATCAGCCATTCTACTTACTTCCACCAAAAAGTTTGAATAGAGATTATGACTTCACGTATCTGTCTGTCTGTCCACAAATAACACTTCTACGAAAGTGTCGAACATGGAGCTACACATAATTTGTAACATTTGGTATCGTATATAATATTTTTTCAATTCTGTTAAAAATTGCGAGACAGGATAATTTTAAAGCTTATCAGATGTAATAATGTCATCAAGATGTGTTCTATAAAGTGAACATCAATATTTCGAGATTTAAATAATTGTTCATTCAGATGGTCATTCTGTTGACATTATTAAATGTTCATGATAATCCTAAGTATGATAACCTGCATTATGAATTTTGGGGATCTCTGAACGTTTTCTAGTTAATTGCTGCACTCGGAGCTTGTCTCATTTAGGTCTACTTTGCTATGTGTAGATTTAGACTCATACACTATTAGTGGACCGGATGAAAAGCTCTGTGGTGGGGTGCTACACATAGCCGGCTATTGGTAAGTACTCCACGTAGATGATTTTTCTTTGTTGCACATAACGTTCTGAGGTCAGAGGGTTGCTCATTACTTTCTGCAAATATTGAGTGAAAGCCCATTTGATGATGTAAAAAAAAACATTACTCTTGGAACAATAGGTAAATTCCCCACCTGTGAGATGTTCTGATAAAAAAAGTGAAAGAACGATAAAACTGGCAATGTCTAATAACTGTTGTCGAACAGTATCATTGGGTATTTCCTCTTTTCAATTTTCTCTGTAAGCAGCAATCTTGTTTGCCAACTTCTCTTCTAAACATAGTTTGACTTTTGTGCGTTACAAAACAAACGGACATAGGCTCATATATATATATATATATATATATATATATATCCTTGTTTTTTTTTTTAATTATAAGCTATATTAGGTCTTTCTTAAATACGCAAGTACTTTCGACTATACATTCAGTCATCTTAAGACATGGAAATTATTTTGTTTTTGGTAAAATTTAGGTAGCATCCGAGAAACCAGAATTGCCGTTTTTCGCTATTTACGCGGGTTTTCACTATATGGGTGGATTCAATTATTAAGTTAAATGATTGTTAAACAATCAACTTATTGTTGGCTACAATTGAGTGAAGTTCGTATTAGATTTCTTGAAAATTGAGGGAGATTTTAGTTTAAAATTTGTGTTAAAATCGATTTTTTCGCGGTTTTTCGCTAAACGCAGTAGCGTAGAAATAAAAATGAAGTATCGTTGTGCTCGTCATGATGTAAGCAACCTACAAACCGATTTTGAACGAAATCGGAGGAAAAAAGTTAAATTTATCAATTTTTGATCGGTTTATTGATTTTTTAAAAATTATCAATTTTTTACGTTAAGAACCTATCTCTTACATTGTACAATGTATACGCCAAGTTTGGTCAAAATCAGTTGAATGGATCTCGTGTGAAAGGTTATCACACAGAGAGATAGGCAGATACAAAGGCATCCTCTGTTTTATATATAGATATATATATGTGTGGGTCTCGTTAAAATATTATAGAAAATTCAGTAGATTTAAGTAATATCACTAAAAACCTCAATTAACTCTTTTTGTGCAAAAAGTAGGCTCAGATTTGAATTTCCACATTTGCATTTATGAACCAATCAGTGATGTTAGATCAAACGCACTGAAAAGCTTTGAAATTTCAGACAACTATCTTTGTTGTCTGCTAAAAAAATTGAGAGATCGCCCCAGAAAATGATTAACAATATTTCCCTCCTAAAAATAGATATTTAAACATAAAAAAAAAAATAATGGAAAAATATTTATCAACCAATAAACGTTTGAAATACATAAATACGATCGCGTAAATTAACAAAGTAGTATCCATTTTTCGCTTTATCCGTAAAACTTTGACCAGGGTTGGTTGTTCAATGTTGTGGACAAGCTCTTCTGAACAAGCAATACTCAGGCCGTTCGTATAAAGAATTACTCAACCTTTTACATATTTTATTCGAGTAACTTCTTACAAAGCCAAGCCATTTTAAAGTAAATTAAGAATACGTGAAAAATACGAACGGAGTTATGCAAAGGATATGTTAGTAGTAGTTATAACATTGCTTCGCCTGCTGACTACTAGAAAATTACACACATTCATAAAACAGCGTAAATACGTGATACTCCTTTGGTAGTTACATTCTGTTTCTTCTATCATACGCAATTTATTCTGTGTGTGTAAAAGACATATACATATATATGAGATAAGGATATATATTTTTATATATCATGAACAGTATTGCGAAAGTTTTATGATAAATTGTAAAAAGTTGTGACGCGTTTCGTTTTTCAGGACTTCATCGGACTAATCTTGTAATGTTGGTAGAAATACATATGCGCACGGCATAGGAATGCTGGGAATATTAGTTTTTTTCGGTCAAATTCACTTAAAGTCTTTTTCTTTCCATCTCTTTTGCAAGTTGGTATTTCACACTGTGATATTAGAAGATCAGCCAGAAATGGTGAAATGTTATAAGAGCCAGGATGCAAATTTAGTGTAGATGACCTTGCGATCAAGGCCATCTCTAGACATTTACGTTTCTTTCAAAACTATATTCTCGGCTTTTATGTCATATTATATTTGTCCGCATCGTTAGATTTTTCTTTGGTTCCCCTATTTATTTAACAATTAAATTTTCTAAGACAAGGTCGCTTTTTTTCTGCAGTCAGTCACAAAAGCGGAAAAGCTGACATACACACAAGTGACCCATATTGATCAATGGGATAATTTCTTTTAAATTGTACACATCCAATAATTCAGGTGAATCAAATTTTGTTTGCTTTTTTGCAGGCCAAAGAGTGTGAAATAATAATGATTCACCAACCTTGGATTACGCCGAAGTTCAGGCTTTGGAAACACACCTGTAATTAAAGAAAATTGTTTAGTACAGGTAAGCGTTTGAACATTCATTTTCTTTCTACAAGATCGATAATCAGATCAAATGATAAACTTTCCAATACTGAAATGTACAAGATTTGCAGTTGTTTGTTATAGAGAATAAAATAAATAAGAGAATAAAAGCAACTCCAAAATGTATATCTTCCGTTTAATAATATATAACTTACGAAAGCTTATTCACGTCATCATCAGACGCTTTAATTGAAAATGATTCTCCTTGCTTATTTTTAAGAATGGATATTTGGAATTAATAAAATTAACATTTAGTCGTAATAATCTAACGAAATAAATGGAATAAACGTATAAGAAGCGAGGGAATATAATAACATGTTTAAATAAACTCAAATAACTACGAAGAAACAACAATAATAATCATTCCAAACACCGATTTCCTTTCATGCTGCAAAAGCCAAATGATTAGATAAAAAGTTATCTTTAAACTGATTATAATAAGAAAAAAATAATTCCTTCTCTGACCCAGAGATGGAACTTGAGAAGAAATTTAACATGCCTTTGCCGGCAGCATTTACTAATATTCCAGTAACTACAAATATCATTTGAAAATTTATCTTAATTTCTATTTCTATTTTTATCCCTTAAAACCAAGTCGAGAAATTTTATTGCAGCATTTAAAACTTGATAAGACCTTTCAGATCGCATGCTCTAAGAATACTCCAGAAAAAAATGTCCGAATCGACATGAATGTAAGTTAAAACAATTAAGAGCGAGGTTCAGTGAGAAAAGGCAGAGAAAACACCATTATTGGTAATCCCATACCGTAATTTCCCATGTATAATACGCATTTTTCTAAAAAAAAAAAAAAAAAAAAAAAAAAAAAGAAGAAGAAAAAAAATTACGGGTAAGTATTATGCACAGCTACAAAAAAATCTTTAAAAAATTATCGTTTCATAAGTCGATTTCACTTGCGAAATGACTACTCACCAGAAACATACGATAATTTGACATTAACATTCAGCGATTGCGACCCCCATAAGGATGTCAAATGCAATTATATGTACCTAACAATACTTACAAATGTAAAATAAAATAAGAATTATCATAAAACTAAATTAGAATAATATTATTCTGTTTAAAACCATTTTTTGTGAAAAACTACATACGGACCCGGTAGATTGTCCATTTTATCGAACAAAAACAGGTTAATGAGTCTGCGCAGTCGGCACAATATAGGTATTTCCGTTTCCTTTTAGAATCGTGAGGATCGGAAATTTTGATAAATATCTTATATTACAGCTAGAATAAAAGTAGAAAACGCTGGTCGTAATGAAATTAAAGATTGATTACCGAACAAGGGTGCATATTATGCGTGAGTAAAAGCGTCTTCCTACACATTCAGCACAATTTTAGAGGTGCGTATTATGGGTGAAGGCGTATTATACATGATGAATTACGGTCAATTTCCCTAGAACAAACACATAGGGCACACTTTCAGTCAAATCGGTAGTCTGATATAAATTCGACTATGGTCACATTGACCACCTGAAAAAAAAATTCTCACTGAAATGGTTAATGATTAGTGATTTATAACTGGAATAATCGATTTAATCAGTCTAACTTAATCTGGCACAAGGTCACACGAATTGATTGATCAAAGAATCTTACTACAACAGTAAACATCTACTAGCTTGCTGTCTTTTGCTTCATGGTGAAGCCCCCTAAAATGGTGCTAAACTTTGATAAGTCTGGCACAAGATCATAATAATGAGTAATTTGATCTCATTACACAGCAGCAACATGGCATTCGAGACTAGACAGTCTGCATTCTTCAACACCCAGTTTCCGATTATTATTATTAGTATTTATTATAATTTCCTTTGGTTTCTTGTGTATACTTATTTCTTTCGCTTTTCAACCAGCGACCATGGTCAGAAATGGTATCAAGACTTTTTCCACTGAACATTTTTGTAAAAATAAAAAAAAAATAAAAGAACCTAAAATGAGAGACATTTTATATTAGGTAAAAGCCCTTCGTAAGGTGTGAGCTGTACTTGTGAGAAGAATTTTTTTTTTTGCATTCTTTTAAGGTATAGTCTACCAAGAATCCTTTTAATTAGTCTATCAGAACCCCCAACCACAATTGCACTTATTAATGCCCTCGTGTGATACACTTTTCAGGTTTCCATTTCAAGATCTTTGTATTTTTATACAATGTAACCCGGATATAAGAGAGTTGTCAGGACCGGAGAAGAAGTCTCTTATATCCGGGTTTCTCTTATATCCGGGTTTGGTCTATTTTGTTTATGTAAATATAGCTCTAATTTGGGACTAGAGAAAATCTCTCTTATCTCCGGGTTTCTCTTATATCCTGATCTCCTATATCCGGGTTACACTGTAGTTTGTTTTTTTTTTTGTTTTTTTTTTGTTCTTTTAGATCTTTAAAGATACATTACATTTTGCAGGAAATGCCATGTCAATAAGAAAGCATATTCCATTCTTGTGTTCTTTAGTCACGATGCCTGGGCAATTAGATTTTGATTGCTCTTGTCTGTGTGTACTGAAAAGTCTTATAAAACTGTTGCAGTTCCTAATTCTTCTGTTGGGATCCAGTCGTGTTCATACCAACTTCTTGCAATTTACTTCCCATAAAAGTTGCAAATTCTTCCAGTGCAGATATTGTCCCAGTGTCATACCGAGTTTTATATTCGATGGACACTGTGAAACCGGGATACAAAATAGACAATTGTTTCTGATATTCATCACAGTATCTGCATTTAGGGTTAACACAATTTTTCAGTACGTTTGCTTGATTATTTCTAGTAAGCAAGCATTTCATCTGTACAGCAAGAATAAAACCTGCTTCAGTTTTTATTCCTGTACTATAGTTGTAGTACAGTTGGCCACTCGTATTCGAGGATACCCGTCTACTAGAAGGGGGGGGCTAGCCAATCCCTATTGCAGACGCTTGCTCAGACGCACCCGTGTTTATTCAACACCCAGAGAGCCCACCTGTGGTTTATACTGCAACTATGCTGAGCAGACCTTAGTTACAGTTTCTGGGAAATATCGTGTTATCTAGAGTGATCAACAATTTGAACAAGGCTAACACACTCAAGCTCTCGGCCACGGTGACTTGTGACTTCGTGCTAGCACAGCTATCGACGGCCGCCAAAGGTTCTGTCTACCCAGTTTCACGAACAAAGCTTGGGTCAACCCGTGGTCTGGTTTACAGCCACTTTCCAAGGGTGCCGCACACTGGGATCGACACCTCCAGTCTAATAACAGCAAGAAATCTCCATCCTTACAAATCGACCATGGTGAGATTCGAACACGGGTCTTATTGTCAGAAAATTCTGCACTATCCATCCACTGATGGGTATAAGTTATGTCTACATCAGCTTGTTTGTTATGGCCATTGTATTGACCTTGAAGCGTTGATCTTGCCATGTTTCGTTCGTTCGTTCATTGTTTTTTTTTCTGTTGTATTTGCTTCTGCCTTCCTGTTTTGGTTCTTTGCCTCTCCAGTTGATGGATTGTGGCTTACTTGCTCTTCTTCATCCACTTGAAATCAATTATTGAACTTTTTGGCTTCTTTTATTACTGAATAAAGCATCTTCTTTGAAACAGGTCATCATACAATCTTTTTTAGTTTCCTCGGTATCTTTGAAGACAGATTGTTGTAGTTTTGTAAGACCGTTCTAGTTGAAGTAATCCTCTGTCAGCATTCCTCTACATCCAGGTTCCCATTATTATTATTATTTCATTTCCTTTGATTTCTGTTGTGTACTCATTTCTTTCTGGGTCCCAACCAGAGACCTGAAGTCAGAAATGACGTCATGGCATTTTCCACCGAGAAACCGAAAATAAAAAACAAAGAGACATATTTTACATAGATAAAGCACGTTGTAATGTGTGGGCTATACTCTCGAGAACAACTTTTTGTATTTCTCTGAGGCATAGACTACCAGGAATCACTTCAATGAATCTATTGAAATCTTTTCCAATTAATCCAAGGGCTCCAACTACAACAGGGATTGTTAATGTCCTCATGTGCCACATTTTTGAGATTTCGATTTCAAGGTCCTCGTATTTTGACAGCTTTTTGAATATCTTCAAAGATACATTACAATCAGCAGGGACGGCCATATCAATAAGGAGGCAATATTTTTGTTTGGGGTCTCTAATAAAGATGTCTGGTCCAATAGCTTTGATTGTTCTGTCTCTGTGTGTTGTGAAGTCCCATATTATTATTATTGTTCTTGTTGTTGTTGTTGTTGCTATTTTTAATACTTCATTATCGTTATTATTATTATTATTATTATTATTATTATTATTAGTGAAAGAGAATCACGCCAGCAAAGTGGTTATTATACATTCCAATATACCCATAATAACGTCCAGTCTAATAAGGGTATATCAGTCACATTATTATTATTATTATTATTATTATTATTATTATTAGTGAAAGAGAATCACGCCAACAAAGTAGTTATTATACATTCCAATATACCCATAATAACTTCCAGTCTAATAAGGGTATATCAGTCACATTATTATTATTATTATTATTATTATTATTATTATTATTATTATTATTAGTGAAAGAATCACGCCAGCAAAGTGGTTATTATACATTCCAAAATACCCATAATAACTTCCAGTCTAATAAGGGTATATCAGTCACATTATTATTATTATTATTATTATTATTATTATTATTATTAGTGAAAGAGAATCACGCCAGCAAAGTAGTTATTATACATTCCAATATACCCATAATAACTTCCAGTCTAATAAGGGTATATCAGTCACATTATTATTATTATTATTATTATTATTATTATATTATTATTATTAGTGAAAGAGAATCACGCCAGCAAAGTGCTTATTATACATTCCAAAATACCCATAATAACTTCCAGTCTAATAAGGGTATATCAGTCACATTATTATTATTATTATTATTATTATTATTATTATTAGTGAAAGAGAATCACGCCAGCAAAGTAGTTATTATACATTCCAATATACCCA